ACCACATCTTCTTGATCCATTCGTCTGTTGATGGACACTTAGGCTCTTTCCATGTTTTAGCTATTGTGGAGAGTGCTGCTATGAACATTGGGGTACATGTGCCCCTACGCATCAGCATTTCTGTATCCCTTGGGTAAATTCGTAGCAGTGCTATTGCTGGGTCATAGGGGAGTTCTATTGTTAGTTTCCTTAGGAACCTCCACACTGTTTTCCAGAGGGGCTGTACCAGTTTACATTCCCACCAACAGTGTAGGAGGGTGCCCGTTTCTCCACATCCTCACCAGCATCTAGAGTTGAGAACATTTTTCCATAGAGATATAAGTTATTGTGTCAGACAGTGCTTTTGGTGGAACATTGATGTAGTTTCATTGAGTTCAGAGCATGGGGGTGGATGAATCTTATGATGGGAGAGACACCATAAAATTGCAGTCACTTTTTGTGTCACATAATACCTGCTTTGTCAGTTTTTTGCTTTTGCCCTCCTGAATAAAGCAGCATTAGAAGGCACTCTTTAACAACTTTGGCTGCATATTGGAATCAATTAAGGAGCTTTAAAAAAAAAATAGTAATTCCTAATTCCCACTGTGAGATTTTTACTTAGTTTAGTTGTGCATTCTGAATTTAGGAATTTTGTTTTAATGTTTAAAGTTAAAGTAGTTATAGATTCATGCGAAAAATAAACAGTTTTCATGTCCCTTTAGCCCAGTGCCTCCCAATGCTTACATATTACACAGCTATAGTACCCTATCAAGAGCAAGAAGTTGATATTGGTACAGTGTGTGAGTATAATGTTATTTTGTTACATATACAGATTCATGTAACCACTATCACATTCAAAATACAGAACTATTTCACCACAAAGATATCTCTTGTTCTACCCGTTTATAGTTACACTTTCCCTTCTAAACTCCCCCCAACCCTCCACCCCCCAGATCATCCCTAACTTCTGGCACTCATGAATCTGTTTCTCAACTCTGCAGTTTTGTCATTTCAAGAATGTGGCATAAGTTGAAACACAAACATGTAACTTTTGAGATTGGCTTTTTCATTTAGAATTATGTCATTAAGATTCATCCAAGTTGTTACATTTTTCAGTAATTCACTCCTTTTTATTATTGCTGAGTAGTATTCCATGTAATGGTTGTTTGAACCACAGTTTGTTGAATCATTCGTCTATTGAGGGACATTTTGATTGTTTCTAGTTTTGGGATGTTACAATAAGATAGACATTATACATTTAATGTAATTATTGATATGTTAGGGTTCAAGTCTCCTATGTTGTATTTTTGTTTTTGTTTCTTCCCTTTTCTTTTCTTTTTTTTAATGTTTATTTTTGAGAGAGAGAGCGCATGAGAGAGAGCACACATAAGTAGGGAGGAGCAGAGGCAGATTCTGGCAGAGGATGTAAAGCAGGCTCTGTGCTGACAGCAGAGAGCCTGACATGGGGCTCGAACTCACAAACTGTGAGATCATGACCTGAGTCAAAGTCAGACGAGACACTCAGGCACTTGGTTTTCTTGTCTGTTTTCTTTTTCCTCCCTTTCTGTGGGCTACTTGAACGTTTTTAGAACTCCATTTTAATGTTTCTGTAATACTTTGTAATATCTCTGTATAGATATTTTCTCTGGTTGTTGTAGGTATTTCATTGTACATATGTAACTCATCACTGTCTATTGGTGCCACATTTTATGAGTTTAAGTGTAGAAATCTTCACTCCCATTAAGTCTTTTCACCTCCACCATTTTTAATTGTCTTAATCAATACGGATTTTTTTTTGTTCTTCCCAGGACTTATGTTCTTTTAATATTGGTGTTTGTATTTTTCACTGGTGATTCTTTAGTCTAAGATTTCATATATTTTATTAGCCATATTTCTTTGAATATAGTGTTTATTCTTTCCTAGAATTAGATGAATATTGGACCTTCTTGTTCTGTTCTTTAGTCTGTTCTTAGTGTCTTCTGTATTTTTCTGTCTTTTTATCTGTACTCTATTATAGGTAATTTCCTCTGATCTGTTTTTTCCAGCTTACTAATTGTCTCTTCAGCTTTGTTTATTTTGTTCTTAAACTTAACTGTTGATACTGTTTCTTTTTAAAAATTTCAATGATTTTATACGTGCAAACATATGATATTAATGTTATACGTTATTAATATCATATATTTGCACGTATAGGAGGATTAGGAGGAACTTAACTGAGGACCATGGGGGAGAAGAAGGGGGGAATGGTGGGGGAAAGGGAGAGAGGCAAACCATGAGAGACTCTTGAATGCTGAGAACAAACTGAGGACTGATGGATGTGGGGGGGGAGGGGGGAGATGGGCATGGAGGAGGGCACTTGTGGGGATGAGCACTGAGTGTTATATGGAAACCAATTTGACAATAAACTATTTGTAAAAAAAAAAAATTCAATGATTTTAGTTTAATTTCCTCTTGTAGGCTGTTTTAAAAATCTAGTGTTTTTTCTTATATATATTCTTCTATGTCTTTGTCATAAATACATATGTTTTTAAGTTTCTATTTGACAATGCTATAATATGAAGTTCTGGGCCCCTAATTTTGTGTTTCTTGACTCCGACTAAGTTTGGGTTATTTCTTAATATGCTTTTGAAATTTGGATTGGGAGCTTATTTTCAACAGGCCTTTATCTGAGGTTTAGTTCTGTATCTGGGTTGAGAGTATATCCCTTCAGAGAAATTGTGTGTTTTTTTTCTACCAAGTTTTCTAGATTATATGACCATCCTAGAACCAGATTTCATTTAGGTTTCTTATTTTGATATTGAGAATTCCCAAGAAAGACTTTTATTGTTACTGTTTTCCTGTGGCTAGTAATGATTGACAAGGTGATTTTCTCTAGTTTGACCTTCCCCCTAATGGTGTAGCTCTCACTAGCTTTATGTGGAGGATCTTGGTTCTCATACTCGTGTTGCAGACATCTCTATGTCCTCATCTTCTGTTTCTGAGTTAAAACATAAGACCTTAGGCTACTGAGACAGAGAAATCCCAACCATATATACTATAATATTAGTTCATAGTCTTAGTGTTCTGATTTCTCTTAGAAAATAAGTTTTGCTATACATTTAAAGAGATGTTTCTTACATTTTATTCAGTATGTCTAAGTCTTCTGTGTTGAGAGGACTTTCAGATTACATAGTTTCCATACTGCCAGAAATTATAGTCTGCTTGTTTATTGACTCTGCACTTCAAGGCCAGTGCCCACCTACGTCACCCTAGTTTCCTCAACACAGTGCATGGTACACAATAGACACTTAATAAATGCTTGTGGAATGAAATTCTGTTCATTACAAATTTATTAGTAATAGTGAAAAACCAAAATGAACCTAAATGTCTAATAATAGAAGAGTACTTAAATAAATGATTGTATTTACTTAAAAGGAAATGACTATAGCTCATATAATATTTTTCAGCCTGAAAAGGGTGATTTGGAAGGCTGTGTTATAGGATTGAAAAATATTAAAGACTAAGTGTAAATGAAAAAAATCAGGATTTAACTTAAATTTATAGTATAGTAACTTTATACATTGTAAAAAAATACTGAATAGTGAACACTAAAATGCTAATAGTAGCTTTTTATGGATTGGTGAATTGAGGGTTCCTTTTGGATAAAAGTTTGGATAAAAACTTCCTACAATGTAGTTTTATAAAGAAAATACTAAAAAGAAAAATGCATATCACTGGCCTTACCAATTTTTAGATTTAAATACACTAAAAAGTTGATAAAGCATAAAAATTTCAGAATTAGTTTTATTATTAAAACATTTACAGACTTTTATATGAAAACACAGAAAAAGATCTTTCTGATACTCAGCGACATCTTGCTAAGAAAAAATATGAACTACAGCTTACTCAGGAGAAAATTATGTGCTTGGATGAAAAAATTGGTGAGTTTTTTTCCTTCATATATATATGTGTAATATATATATTTTAAGTCCAGTAGAAAATGTTTTCTTCTTTTCAGTTATCAGAGATAAACTTGGAAATAGGCCTATAAATTAAAAGTCTATGAATAATGAAAAATGTGTTTTCCTTTGATAGTAAAAGTTTTTCCTTATATTTAGGACCATAAATACTTAGACAAGGGCATCATATTTTTTCAGTGAAGAAGCAGCTAAACAAAGATGTGACACTTTGTAAATTTATGATGAACACTTGTAAATTTACAACGTGTGCCATTGTGGCTTGTACGTAGCTGTTGTAATGAAACATGGTACCTCTCTGTATATTACTTTTGGTGGAAAGCATACATATATTAGATATTATTGGCTATATCTATTTTCTCACTTGGGGGTCATTGAGAAAATTGTTTTTATAAAGTATCCCATTTATGTTTCTTACCAGGGATCTCTATGAAAATATGGTCATTAACTTAATCTCCTTATAACTGTAAAGTAAAATTTTGGTCAGGACTGTAAAATTTAAACATTTAAAAATAGAGGATATATTTCTTTTTGAAAGAGAGAAGAGAGAGCACTATCAGTGGGGGAGAGGGGAAGAGGGAGAGAGAGAGAGAGAATCTTTTTTTTTTTTTAATAGTTTATTGTCAGGTTGATTTCCATATAACACCCAGTGCTCATCCCCACAAGTGCCCTCCTCCATGCCCATCACCCCCCCCCCCCCCCCCCCCCCCCCCCGTTTGTTCTCGACATTCAAGAGTTGATAGAGAATCTTAAGCAGGCTCCACATCCAACACGGAGCAGTACATGGGGCTTGATCCCCTGACCAGAGCCGAAATCAAGAGTCAGATGCTTGATCAATTCAGCCACACAGGTGCCCCAAAATATTTAAAATATTTTTTTAATGTTTATTATTTATTTTTGAGAGAGAGACAGAGTACAAGCAGGAGAGGGACAGAGAGAGTGGGAGACATGGAATCTGAAGCGGGCTTCAGGCTCTGAGCTATCAGCACAGAGCCCAACATGGAGCTTAAACCCATGAACCATGAGATCATGACCTGAGCCCAAGTCAGACACTTAACCAACTAAGCCATCCACGTGCCCTGTAAACAGGCAATATTTTTAAGTTTCTGTTTTGTAGTTCAAAAATGTCTGGCATAAACAATTAGATTAGTAGAGGTGCTTTTAATTGAGATAGGAAATATTACAAGAGAACTATAAAAAAGAAATATTAAAGAACTCATTTTTGGATATTTTAAGTCTAAGTAAAAATGTAAGGTAACCAGTTAAATAGATAAGCTTTTATCTCAGAAGAGAAATCTAAACTAGAGATATACATTTGGGACACATCAGCATATAAATGATATCTTAAAACCATAAAATTACCTAGGGAAAATATAGAGAATGAGGAGAAGAGGATCCAGGACTGAGTAAGAAGAAGCCAAAGAAGTAGGAAGAAAACCCAGAAGTGAGTGTTATTTTTGGAGGCAAGAGAGCAAAATATTTTTAAAAGGAGACTGTAATCAATTGTCAGATACGTTTGAGAAGCAAAATAAGATGAGGATGAAAAATTATTGATTGGATTTGGCACACTGGAGGTTTTGGTTACATTGACAAAAAAAAGTGTGAATGGACTATTGGATGTGGAAGATGGAGTAGGTTGAGGAATGATTGGGAAATGAGGAAGTAGGGACAGGAGAGAATAGAAGTCTCTTAAAGCTTATGTTTTAACAGAAGCAGAAAAATGGTGTGGTAGCTTGAGTGAGACGTGAAGTTGAGAATGTTTTTTAAAGCTAGGAGATAATAGAGCTTTTATGCCAGTGGAAATGGACTCAAATATCAGGACACCTAAAACATGCAGTTTGCCTTAATGACAGTGCTCTCTGGAAAAGGGACATGACGTATTCTCAAGTATTATGTAGACCATCTTCTTGGTATATGGTGTTACTTCTGTTAGCACTGCACTGGTTGTCTGCTGGCAAGGATTTACATCTTGAGAGCTTCCCTTGTAGAGCTCTCAACAGTGTTTTTCAAACTTGGTGTGTGCCTGAATCACTTCGAATGCTAATGAACATCACTGGAGGTAGGATCCTTGAAGTAAGATATGGCCAAGGCTTTTGTATCTTCACTAATTTCCTCAAGTGATTCTCAGACTTTGTTATGCATTAAAATCATTTGGGAGGGATACTTGTTAAAACATAAATCGCTCTGCCCACTCAATTTCTGATTCAGTAGGTCTGGTGTAGGACCTAAGAATTTATATTTCTGACAAGTTCCCAGATGATGCCAATGGTGCTGGATGAGAAACCACAGCTTGAAAACCATTATTTTATACCGTTCAGTTAGGTCTTCAACACTGACATTGGTTTGCCAGTGTTATCGCAAATTGAATCAGACTTTCTGGGATGTTTTTTTTTTTTCTTCCAGGAATTTTTATAAACCTACTTTTGAAAAATCAGGATATCAGGAGACATTTGACTCTGAAAATGACCTAATTAAATATTTATTAAGATCTTGTAGTTATCAACTTATATGCAACAGTGATTCTAGGCTAGAGGAAGGGAGGGGAAATTACAGGGAGAAAAGTCACAGTTTGTTTTGATATTCCACTCATTTTGTTCATACACCCTCTCCTCCCCCACCATACATGTAAATCTACTTTGAGAACTTGTAATATAGAGTATTCCTTTGCTGTTCTAATTTAAATGTATTAATTGTGCTTTTACATTTATGTGTTATTTAGAATTTCATGGTTCATCTTAGTTTTTAGTCACTAACAACAAAAGCCATTTTTTATTTGGGATATGGTACTTATTTTCAGTCATTGAACATAATACAGGAGAACTTACTTTGAAAAGTATTTCAATTTGCTTGAACTGGAAAAAAGTTATCCTGATTAAAACAATGCCTTTATGATTACATATTTAGATAATTTTACCAGGCAAAATATTGCCCAGAGAGAAGAAATCAGCATTCTTGGTGCAACCCTCAATGATCTGGCTAAAGAAAAGGAATGCCTTCAAGCATGTTTGGATAAAAAATCTGAGAACATTGCATCCCTTGGAGAGAGTTTGGCAATGAAAGTATGTTCTGAGAACTGTGGTTTAAAAGAAATGTTTGAACTTGAATCTGAATAAAGTAATAGGATTTTCTCAATTTTTTTCCTAGAGAGCTGAAACTATAAAATCTGATTTTGAAATTTTTCCTGATAGTCTTAGGAACTGTGTGTTCAAATGCACTAGCTAATATTTTAAAATTGATTTTCTCTCATCAGTTTGTGATTAACATTCACTATAATAACTAATTCAAGTATCAAAATGTGAAGCATGGTAATAAAGCAGTGAAACTGACTTCTTTGTAAAAGAACATCAGAACTTATATTTTCTGGTAGCTGAAGCAGTAAACATTAAGAACATTAAAACTGCCTTTGTAACTGTGCTCAAAACTAGGAGCACATTTTTACATCATCCTCAGCCTTTGAGAATAGATCATATGTAGCTGGTAAATAAGGCTGGATGATCATCTCCATCCCACATTTTTTGTTGATCAGACAACAATAGCAAAAGTGTTGCCAAAAAGGCAGGGAAATATTGGTTACCTTTTCTATTTAATAAACTAGTTCTGAAGACAGTTCCTAAACTGTTTTCTACAAATGATTTAATCAAAGGCAGCATCATTAGAATAAGGTCTTTTCCCTCTCTAAGGGATCGAATTCATTCATTTATCTATCCATCCATCCAACAAACGTTAATTGACATGTACCAGGAATAATGTTGGAAACTGAGGATGAGTGTGCATGCCTTCCAAAAGCCTGGGAGAAAGATAAATGAACATGCTATCTTGAGGGAGTGTGCTAAGTGCCATAGCGATTTGTGTACAAATGCAAATAGAGTTAGGCATAAATATACCTAATTCACCCTGGGGATTGGATTAGGGGAGAAGGAAGATCTCTAGGGAGCCTTCCAGGAAGTGATGGGGCCCGGACTGCCCTGTGATGACTAGGAATAGCCAGGACAAGATTCAGGGAAAGGGAACAATGAGAGAAAGAAAGGATGATCCAGACAGGTAAAACAGCTTCAATGAAAGCTCAGTGGCTTTCATAAGAGAATTTCAGGAAAAGGTCAGTATGAGAGCAGGGCTGGGGGGTAAAAGTTGAGATGGGATGGATAAGCAACAAATCATAGAAATACATATAATGTTGAGTTTAGACTCTATCATCATGGATATAGAGGATTACTGAAATAATGTAAATGAAATGTCACAATTAGATCTTTATTTTGAAACAAATATTCTGGTACTTGTCAGTCTGTGTAAAGGATGGGTTTACAGGAAAATGAGAGTAATGACAAGGACACTAGCTACAAGTAGAATGATAAGAATTGTGTTAGGATAGTGGCAATATCCATGAGAGAAATAGAGCTTTTAAGAAAGATTGACAAGATGTGCTTTCTGACTTAGGGACCACATGGATAGTTCCCGTGCTTAAAGTAGGAAACAGAAATATGATAGGCTTACAGAGGAAAATATTGCCATATCTTTGGGACATGGTTGAAATATTCATAGGCTCTTGGATTTTTAAGTTTAGAAAGAAAGTTGAAGTGAGGTTAACAGATTTGGGAATCATGAGCACAACTGAAATCTTGCTATCCAAATCCATGGGATAGTAAATTTATTTGCTGAAAATTCTAACTTATCTTTATGTTATGTTTATTATTATGCCTTAATAATTTTATTAATTTAATTTTATGGGGTTTTGGGTGGGTGGAGTTTGCTTCCCATTGTATTCAGACCACTTGTTGAATAGTTCAACGTGATTTTCCTTAAAAACACAAACATTTAGAAACATTATTTAGAAATTTTTGAATCATTTACCTCTGTTATATCTAATATTTCATATTTCTTCAATTTTGCTAACTATACTGACATTATTTTTTTCTTTACAAGGAATATTGAGTTGCAGGTCCATTTCAATATGGAATCCATTTCAAGAACTTCTTATAAGATCATGAATGTAAACACATCCATCCTCTGAAGGGAAAATAACTTTTTAAAACAGTGTTAGACATCCAAAAGAGGAGATGTTCTCTACAGTGATATTTCAGAGCTGAATTTACAACTACTCTTAAGTGAAAAGCAGTAATGTAACAGTCTAATCTGGAGATTACAGAAATAAATTGCTATGGAAAAAGTCTACATTATAGTGAATAAGGGGAATTTTTTTTTTCTGGTAATCATAGTTTTAAAAGATGTTCTACTACTTGCTACCAATTAAATTTAGAAAACTCAATAGCAAGTTCACATATTTTTTAATAATAAAAGACAGAACTACTTGTGTAACATTTTAGTTTGTTTCTTTTTTGTGAGTAGTTTATTACCATCCTGTTCAGATTGAATTTTTAATAGTTAACTTGAGTCTTTATCTCTGGATAAGCATATTGAGGTTGTGCAAGGAATATTAATTGAAGATGACGGGATAGATTTCAACAATTTGAGAAATGGTGGTATTAAGGTCATATTAAGAGAAAAAGAGGCTAAGACAATATATTACTAGATTTTACTCAGTAATTTTGTTGTTCTTGGATGTTTTACAATGTTCTCAGAGAATCTTACTTTCAATATGGATTTCTACTGATAAAGGGAAGCCCTGTATAGACTTATAAACCATATTTAAAGCTTAATCAAGTAATGGTTTTTAAAACAATAGAAGTTCAATTAGTTTTTCAGAATTTATTTAGAAATGTATTATTATATTTTAAACCTTGTGTAAATATTCCATTTTAAGCATTATTTTCTCTTTATTGGCTTGTGCTTCTTAAAGAGGTTTAACTGCTTTGCTAATAGGTATTTTAACCATACCCTGATATCCATTACTGCCAGATGTGGATTCTGCTCCATTCTTATGGAAATCAGAAGGGGAAAATGGAGCTAAAAATAACCTGGAGAGGAACACATGAATAAAGGAAGATAACACACACACTCATGCAACTGTCTTCCTAAAGGAACAAGACTCATTGGGAAATACAGGGATTAGTTTATCTTGCTACTTGGTTACTAAGGATTTGAAAATTCAAAGGGCAAGATGAAATATAGTTATTTAGTGAAAGAATAACTTTATACTTTTTTTAGGTCTAGTGTTAGCCCTAAGTATCTGTGTATAGTTACCTATAACCAGTTCAGGATGAATGAGAGTTTTAAAAGGAGGAGGTGTATGAGTGGTATTGATGTTGCATTAAGATCATTTCAGCCTTCACTGACTCCATTAATTCTACTCTCTCACCACACCCTTGAAAAGAGAGAATATCAGTAGTTTATTTTTTTATAACTTTTCTGTAGGCCTAAGGCTTGTCTCTTTATTAGCTCACACCTAAAATTATAGTATACTTTTTTAAGAAATTCAGTTGGAACAGCTTTTTGAAGATATTGTCAATGACTAATATAAATAATTTACTTGATCAAGTTATTATTCCTGAGAACTAAAATTAGTCTTATGTGATTCACATTCCTGGGTTTTATATTCCCAGTATACAACACTCCAATGCCAAACCACTGGTTTATAAACAAAAACTGGGTGCTTATGGGATCCTTGTGTGGCTGCATGACTACACAAAACATTTGAACAAAGTATTCGATATACTGATCCCATATCAGGGCATGTTAGTTTAGTCTTTAATGAACATAATCTCTTGTTTTTATCTAGTACAAATACTCAGACCAATATACTGGGATTTAGTTTTAAAGTGTAGAAAAGAAGAATAGAACATAAATGTTTAAAACCAAATGGGAATCAGAAAGGGAGGAGAAAATTTCTTTTTGTTCCTTCAGTTTTAAGAGAAATAGTTTAAAATATTTTTTATTTAATACTTATATTACTTTTCAAGGAAAAGACCATTTCAGGCATGAAGAATATTATTGCTGAGATGGAACAGGCATCAAGGTAAATCATTCAACAAGAATTTGAACATATATTGGGGACCAAATACTGTGTTAGGTAGATCGTAGGAGACCAGGGGCTTAGTGTCATGTATAAGGTGATAACTTTTCTTTCTTTATTTATTTTGAGAGAGACAGTGTGTTTGTGTGTGTGAGAGAGAGAGAGAGAGAGAGTGTGAGTGAGTATGCGAGCTGGGGAGGGACAGAGGGAAAATCCCAAGCAGGCTCCACATTGACAATGCGTAACCTGACGCAGGGCTCCAACTCATGAACTGTGAGATCATACAATCTGAGCCAATATTAAGAGTCAGATGCCTAACTGACTGGGCCACCCAGGCACCTCAGGTTATAAGTTTCTAATGTTTGAAAGGAGGCATAAGTCTGTGTATGGAAGCAAAAGAAAATATGATGTTAACTAAGTAAAGGAATAGGAAGGACATTCAAGGTAAAAAGAATAGCAAAGAACCCCAGATCATGTTCAATAGCCTCTTGAATGACAAGTAGGTAAGTGTGCTAGAACTCAAAGTGTAAAAGAAGTGATAGAAGGAAAGGCTAAGTAGGCAGAGGCTTGTGGTATAGACAAACGAGTCTTGATGTTATCTTTTAGACAATAAGAAATCATTAAAGAAAATTAAGGAGATTTTTGTGCTAGATTACTGAGGCCAAAGAGATGATGATAGATTAGGGTGGAGGGATTGGGAGACAAAGGAGTGAGGGGCTTGCTGTGAGGAGGAGAATCTAGGAGAATGCCAGGTTTCTGGCTGGGGATGAACAGTGGACATTATGAAAGTATGTGGAAACACATGATTTCTTCTAGATTTGAAGAGGCTTTGAATCTTTCTTATAGATATGTCTAGTAAGCAGTTAGATATGAGTCTGGAGTGTTAAGAAAGAGGCAGAGACTAGAGATAAGATTTCAGAATCATCTGAAGATGGAGCTGGGAGTTATGGCTATGAACAGGATTTTCTTTTTTAAAAAATATTTTTAAAACATACTTATTTTTGAGAGAGGGAGAGAAAGAGTGAGCTAGAGAAAGAGGAGGGGCAGAGAGGAAGACAGAAGATCTGAAGAAGGCTCTGTACGGACAACGGAGAACCCGATGCAACGTGTGAACTCGGTTCATGAGATCACGATGTGAGTCAAAGTTGGACACTCAACCAACTGAGCCACCCAGGTGCTCTTGAATAGGATTTTCTGAGAGAAGGGTGAGAAGAATAAGGAGGCCCTGAGAACCATTAATTTTTAAGAGGGCCAAGGACTGGGCACCTGCAAAGGAGACAAAGCTATAGCAGCTAGAGGTAGAATGAAGGCTTTCTTATATTGGAATGTTAGAACTTTTGAAATAACTTAGCAAATCATTGACTATTAGGTATACTTAGCATCCTTTTTTTATAGTGAAATGTGGGAAACATAGAGAAATCCCAATGGACTGTATTTAAAATTTAAATGTGGTTAAAACATTAAACCTTTTCATGCTAACTGTCCAACTTCTGTCATAGGAGAATTTGTTATTCTGCTTTTGGTAAAATGTCTCTTATGTACTATCTGATTTGTGGAATAGACAGTCTACTGAAGCCCTAATTATGTGTGAACAAGACATTTCCAGAATGCGTCGGCAATTGGATGAAACAAATGATGAGCTGGCTCAGATTGCCAGGGAAAGAGATATCTTGGCTCATGAGAATGACAGTCTCCAAGAACAGTGTTCTAAAGCCAAACAAGAAAACCAGGTATACTAATTCCAGGAATCTTTCTTATCCAAGAAAAATTATTGTCTTATTCTAATGCACAGTCCTCATTTCATTTTGTAGAAAACCTCAGGCTTTGGAATCAGTCATTTTTTTTTTTTTACCTCTATTACATAGATTGTGCCTCATATCTTCTAAATGAAATTCTCAGACATGAAGTATTAAAGGAGAGAGAGAGAATGGTGATATAATAGATTTCTATTAAATCTTAGGGAGTACTTCTTTACTGAAGGATAAATATTTGAACAAATCAACAAAGAGAAAAACTTTCAGAAACTTATAAGAAAGGGGTAGATACATTTAGTAGACAATTATTTAAGTATGAATGTATGTATGGACTATGCCACATATTTTGGTCCTCCTTAGCACTGTGATTCTCTGTGATTTTCCTTTTATAATTATTCTCTCTGTAAGCCAATATATTTCAGTTTATCTACTCTTTTCATTTACAGTATCACTATTTTAATTTGAACATTAAAAAACTCTATTTGGAAGTTATCTCCTCTTAAAATGATTCAGTCTAAATGACTCTCCAACTTGCTGACACTCTCAGTATATTTAGTCTGTATTATAGAAGTCTGTATTTTCAACTGTTAAAGATTTTTAATTTACATAAACTTATAAAAGACGTGATGCTTTGTTAACTTTAAAAAATTGCCTGAGACATTAAAATATTTTGATCAAAAGTTAATGAATAATGGGATCCTGGAGTAGAAAAAGCACATTACATAAAAATGAAAGGAATTTGTGTAAAATATGCTAAAGTTAGTAATATGTCAACCAATATTGGTTCATTAATGGTGACAAATGTACCATACTGATGTAATAAGACACTGAGTATAGAGTAGATGGGGACCCTCTGTACTATTTTCACAATGTTAATGTAAATATAAAACTATTCTAAATGTTTGGTTTTTAAAAAATAATGAATAGCAATAAAAACAAAGGTATGATTTTATAGGATCTACTTTTGTGTACTCTGTATTTATAGTTCTGTATTTGCTATAGCAAATAGACTAAATAACTTATATTTATAAAAAAAAACCTAGATTAAACACTCTCATTTTTACTACCCAGAGTTAGACATTGTTAACATACTTTTTTACTGATTTTCAAATACTTTAAATTTTTTGTACTATTTTTTACATGGACTTTTTAATGTAACTGGGATAAAACCACATACCACTTTATATCATGTTTTTTCTTACATGCTAAGGCAGTAGCATGGAGTACTTAAGACTCATAAGTTTGAATACTCTGGCTATGTGATCATACCATTTAACTTTTGTGAGTGTCAGTTTATATATGTAAAAATAGAGGGCAAATGAGAATATGCCTAGAGAGTACTCATTGAAATGTCTAGCATAATCACTGGACACCTATCTTGTTGCTATTATGTGCTTACTGTGACATCATAAGCACTCCCTTCCTTTGTTAAAACTTCATAAACTTTTTTTATAATCAGAAGAAATTGGTGTTATAACAATTTACATTTGTTCAAGAGTAGTATTTTCCTTTGTTTGGGTTATAGGCCCAAGGGTAGAAGATGGATCCCTAGGTGGATCACAAGTTAAGAACCCATATCTGAGCAAATTTGGAAAACAGAAACCCTTAAAACATTTCATCCTTAATACCATAATTTTTAACAAGTTGGGATGAAGTATTTTTAGTGTTTTATCCTGACTTTTTCATTAAATATAGATGAACATTTTCCTGTTATTAAAGATTACTCTAAACATTTCTCATAGACAGATACATGATGTTTTATGTAGCTATACCACTGTGTAGATACTGTCACTTACTGCCATCATTCACTTAACGTGAATAGATATTGTCACCATAACAAATAATACCTTAGTGAACATTCTTTTCATTAATTTTAATATATTTAGTAGTTTTAAATCAAAGCTTATGAGGTTTCTTTTTTAAATTAAAAAACTTTTCTAAGTGGACATTTTCAAATGTAGTGAATACTAGTGCATCTATCTCCCACCTTCAACAAAAAAGCAACATACTTGTCATTCCTGTTTTTATCAGTATTTAAAAATGTCTCTTGATGTAGATTGTAGATAGCAGATCACAGATTTGCTTTTGCAAATTTATGTTTATTCCAAGATACATGGAAATTCCCATTCCTTGGTTTAATAGAACAACTTTAATTCTTTGCTAATTTGATAGACAAAGTAGCATTTAATTTTTTAAAAATTATTTAAATTTAGTAACATTTTAGAAGTTTAGAAAATTTAAAAAATTTTTTGATTACTTATAAATTTTAATTTTTTTGAAGTATTATCCACTTGGGCTTCCTTTTTGTGAATTGTCTTTTGGGTTCTTTGCTCATTTATTATTTGGATTCTTGTGTTTCCTGTTTTATTTTTTTCCTAGTGGGGTGATGGGCCACATGTCTCATTATCCCACATCCTTACCCAGACTTACATGGTGATTGTTGCAGTATTTCTAAGAGCAGCAAGCAGAAAGTCCTAAGAAATAAACAATTTTTAAGCACAAACTTTCAATTTGTATACTATTGTTTATTGTCCAATTAGCCAAAAAAAATTGTGAAGGCAAGATTAGATAGAAATGTGGTTAAACACACTTCAACTCACTGGAAGGAGTTGTAAGGTTTATGGCAAAGAATGTGATATTAGAAAGCATGAAGAGCTGACGTGTTTTTGATTGTTACGAGTTTTATATATTAGGTATATTAACTTTTATTTATCATATTTACTATAAATATTTAAAATTAAGGGTGGTTTTGACATCGAGCAAGTTTTTATTTTTATTTTTTATAGTCAAATCTAGCTATCTTTTTTTTATAGGCCCTGTCTAAAAAATTGAATGATACACATAATGAACTTAATGACATAAAACAGAAGGTCCAAGATACTAATTTGGAGGTTAACAAGCTGAAGAATATATTAAAGTCTGAAGTATGTATACATTTTTTCCTCTTTGCTCATGATACCAATGAAATTTTGCTGAAGTTATTTATCATAGGGACAGCTGAATCAAGGCTTTTTAAAATACACGGAATATTTTAGTATTGACAATGATGGATTAACTATATATTCAGCCATTCTAGATAAGATGAATACTTCTAATTGGCTGAGGGACAGGGGATCAGAATCAACTTGGGCTCACTTATATTTGAAAACGGTAGTTTTCAGTTACAAACCTTTGACAAAAGAAGCTCTGCCTGATTGTGTAGCAGATCAGAATCGATTACCCTGTTGTGAGGCTATCTCTCTCTCTCTTTTTTTTTTTTTTTTTACAAATAGTTTATTGTCAAATTAGTTTCCACATAACACCCAGTGCTCATCCCCACAAGTGTCCTCCTCCATGCCCATCCTCCCTCCCCCCACATCCATCAGTCCTCAGTTTTTGTCAGCATTCAAGAGTCTCTCATGGTTTGCCTCTCTCCCTTTTCCCCACCATTTCCCCCCTTCTTCTCCCCCTTGTTCCTCCGTCAAGTTCCTCCTAATCCTCCTATACATGCAAACATATGATATTTGTCCTTCTCTGCCTGACTTATTTCGCTCAGCATAACACCCTCAAGGTCCATCCATGTTGCTACACATGGCCAAATTTCATTGTTTCTCATTGCCATGTAGTATTCCATGGTATAGATAAACCACATCTTCTTGATCCATTCATCCGTTGATGGACACTTAGGCTCTTTCCACATTTTAGCTATTGTTGAGAGTGCTGCTATGAACATTGGGGTACATGAGGCTATCTATTTCTTAGGACCAGAGAGGATAGCTCTGCTCTGTATTTCTGTGTTAGTGACCGTTTGACCAGACACCTGTATCAGACATCAGATGACACCAAATAAGTCTAGAGTATGTGTGGTAACCCTGGAATAAACAGAAAGTTTGACCAAGGATATTAGGTGTGCCGATTTGGTAAAATATTATCTAAAATAATATAGTTGACTTGATTACTGTAATAGGTATAGTGTTCCCTACATACCACTCAAACTATTAATAGGAACTTTCCACCCCCAAACTGTTTTTCTTGTTGTATTTAACATCTCATTTAATATCAGTTTACAAACATTTCTTGAACATTCATTTTTAGTGTGTATAAGACTGTTTAAGACTTTGAGAGAGAAAAGATTCTGAGGATTCCTAAATTGCAAGTTAGGGAGTAAGGCTGCAGCCTTACATTGGAAAAGCAGGTAATTTCTTACATGTCTTGATCTTAAGGTGCCAGCAATGTAATACTATAATTGAATGGAAGCTTCAAAGTCAGATAGGTCTGACCCCCTTCTCACTCATAACATGAATTTATGTGGGCTACTCGATTGTGTCTTAAGTGTCCTATTGGTAATCGGGAAGAAGGCCCTAGTATGTAAGATAGACCTAGCACAGTGAACTATTTAAGTATATTCTGGAATAAAACACTATACATTAATGAATATCTAAACATTTAATGTAGTAAGATTTCAGTCAGTGTTAGACACTTCACTTTTTCTCCCTAACCTGTCACACTATCTGGAATTCCACCATTAGGGATTGGGGATTTTAGATTGTGGAACTGTATTTTCAGACATCACACATCAGGCTTCTCTCAGCTGGTAGTGCCCTACTCTGAGTTCTTTTATGAGATTTCATTTCACAACAAAACTGGAAGGATCCTGGCAGCCCCTTGAGAGAACAAACCACAGGTCCATTAAGAATTGTTGAGCACTTGATTCATTCACTCACTCATTCAGCACGTAGTATGCTAGGTGCCAGAGATGAAAACCAGGAAACAGAATGGCACACCAGGCAGTGGGGACAGCCTGAACAAAGGTCTAAGGGGAAAAAAAGTAGGTTCTGTAGCTAGAGAGGAGGGTATAGGTAGGTGATAATACAGAGGTAAAAGGACTTGTTTGAACTCTATTTTCAGGAGCTTTTGTTACAACATGAACCCAGAAGTCTTTTGAATTGCCTTTTAGAAAGATCATTCGGGCGATTTGGGGAGGAATAAATCAGAAGGATAACAAAATCAGAAAGAGGAAGATCACTTAGGGGAGGCTGTATTCATAATTCAGTCAAGTAGCAGAAAGGCAGCAAGTTTTGCTTTGAAGTATTGTAATGAGCCCAGTGGTGGACCAGAGGTGGAGGATACTGAAGTGGGGGCAGCACCAGAAAGAGGTAAACAGATCCTGAAAGGGAATTGGAGAATACCAAAGAATAGTTCCACTTTTAAAAAAATTTTAAATCCAAGTTAGTTGACATACAGTGTAGTCTTGACTTCAGGTGTAGAACCCAGTGATTCCTCTCTTACATATGACAGTGCTCATCCCCAAAAGTGCCCTCCTTAATGCCTCTCACCCATTTAACGCATCTCCCCACCAACCTTCCCTCCAGCAACCCTCAGCCTGTTCTCTGTCCTTACGAGTCTCTTATGGCTTGCCTCCCTCTCTGTTTTTACTTATTTTCCCTTCCCTTTCTCTATGTTCATCTGTTGTGTTTCTCACATATGAGTGAAGTCATATGATATCTGTCTTTCTCTTATTTCACTTAGCATAAAATACACTCTATTTCTATCCACATTGTTGCAAATGGCAAGATTTCATTCTTTAAAAAATTTTTAAACACTTATTTATTTTTGAGAGACAAGGAGAGACAGAACATGAGCAAGGGAGGGATCAGATACAGAATTCAAAGCAGGCTCCTGGCTCTGAGCTGTCAGCACAGAGCCTGATGTGGGGCTCAAACCCACAAACCATGAGATCATGACCTGAACCAAAGTCCAATGCTTAACCGAGTGAGCCACCCAGGTGCCCCAAGATTTCATTCTTTTTCATTGCTGAATAGTATTCCAGTGTGTGTGTGTGTGTGTGTGTACATACCACATCTTATCAATTCATCAGTTGATGGGCATTTGGGCTCTTTCCATAATTTGGCTATTATTGATAGTGCCATTATAAACATTGGGGTGCATGTGCCCCTTTGAGTCAGCATTTTTTTATCCGTTGGATGAATACCTAGACGTGCAATTGCTGAGTCATACAGTAGTTCTATTTTTAATTTTCTGAGGAACCTTCATATTGTTTTCTAGAGTGGCTGCACCAGTTTGCATTCCCAGCAGTACAAAAGGGTTCCTCTTTCTCTGCATTCTCACCGGCATCTCTTATTTCCTGAGTTGTTCATTTTAGCCATTTTGACAGGTGTGAGGTGATATCTCATTGTGCTTTTTGTTTATGGCCTATCTTGGGTTCCACACTGTTCTGGCTGCTTTTTGTGGTTATAAAAAAAAGGGAAAATATGGTTTCCAGTTAGCCAGAGGGAGGTACACCAGGAATTTGGTGACCAGGAGTGACACATTTATGTCATTCTTTTTTACTGCTTAAGCTTTAAACCATGTGTTACCTGGGTTTCACGAAACTACATTTAATATAAAAAATAGTTCGTATTTGAGAAAACTTAATGTAGTACAAAAAATGGTTTCTATCTTCGAGGAATTTAGAGTGTTATTGAGAAGACTGGACATCCACACCCAACAGCATAAAGCTCTAAGGCATTGTTAAGAGAATAGCATAGACAGTGAGTGCCACACAAAGTTAAAGATGGTGAAGATTGATGGAGTAAAATTCAGTTTATATATACTGTACCATGTGTCTCCCAGGTACATACTATGTGCACAGCTGGATTTTTTTGGTACAGTAATGGAAGACACATCAAATTCCTACCTACAGACACATTGAGAATATCTGAATCTTGAATGCATGTTAACAGACTTGGCAAGTTGGTTCTATATTAGTTATAGGTAACCAAACCACAAGGTGGCGATATTAACTGACTCTTTAACCAATCTCAGGGTTAATCATATTTGTGAAAACTAACTCTTGAGTTGAAAGCTTTCTTAGGGTGAGACATCATGTATTATAATTTGATTGCTTTATGGTTCTGATAGAAATTCACCAGCTATTAATGGGTATTATTAATGAGAGAGAAGTCTTGGACCTTTTAAATAATAACCAAAATTATAAATGACTTTCTAAGAATGAGTTAGCCAAACCATATTACTAAAATATGTATTTAAAAATAGCCTCATAGTGATTACTCAATATAGTATACTTCTTGTGGAGTTGATTCTATTCTTTTAGAAATAAGATCCCACTTTTTAATCAATTTGTCATGATAGTGGTTTGGGGCACATGGATGGCTCAGTTCAGTTAAGCATCCAACTCTTGATTTCAGCTGGGGTTGTGATATATCACTTCAGGGGTTCAACCCCTGCATCAGACTCCACATTAACAGTGCAGAGCCTACTTGGGATTCTCTCTCTCTCTCCCTCTCTTTCTGCCTCTCCCTTGAGTGCACATGCACGCTGTCTCTCTCAAAATAAATAAACTTACAAAAATTTAAAAGTTTGAAAAATGTGGTTCTATATTGTATGCCCAATATGACTGTATGTTTATGAATAGTGTTTGTTGGCAGAGGTTTGTTGTTTTACTTCTTAGCAATTTTAGGCAAGTTACTAAAATAGTATGCAAAAGGGGTGCCTGGGTGGCTCAGTTGGTTAAGCATCTGACTTTGGCTCAGGTCATGATCTCACAGTTCGTGGGTTTGAGCCCCGTGTCAGGCTCTGTGCTGACAGCTAGCTTACAGCTTGGAGTCTGTTTCGGATTCTGTGTCTCCCTCTCTCTCTGACCCTCCCCTGTTCACGCTGTCTCTCTCTCTCTGAGAAGTAAAACATTAAAAAAATTTTTTTACATAGTAAGCAAAAGTGAACCATAAATCATAGAACAGTCCATGATGGAGAAAATTAAGACTGAGGTTATGAATGAAAGGCAGGAGCTAGACAGGAAATGTGCCAAACCAACAGAATTATCGGTGGCTGATGCTTAAGATTTGTAAGCAGTCAGAAGTTCTCTAGCCAGTACAACCTAGTAAAGCAGTCAGAACAAAGGAATACACAGATACAGAAGGTTGGCCACGGCACGAACTCAAAAACCAGAGTATCATGTAGTCAGTAAACATATATATAGGGAGAGAAAGTAATGAAAGATTTTGTTTGAACAGAAGTAAATACAGGGACGTATTCATACAGGTTCTGAAGACAAGAGTAAACAACTTGACTTTACTCAGTGGGTGAGTGTGTCTCAGGAGGCAGAGCAGATCCTGGTCCCATTCCCTTTTGTTGATTACAGGGTGTCCAATTTTCTAAATTGAGAGTTTAGATAGGATTTCTTGACGTTATGTTACAAATGGTTCTGTAGCAAATAAATTTCCAGTGACCTGGCAAATAATGTTTAATTTGCATCATATGTTGACCATTTTACATCATTTTAAGTAATTCCTAAGATTTGCTTTTTAGGAATCTGAGAACCGGCAAATTATGGACCAACTCCGAAAAGCCAATGAAGATGCTGAAAACTGGGAAAATAAGGCCCGTCAAGCAGAGGCAGATAACAATACCCTCAAATTAGAACTTATTACTGCAGAGGCAGAGGGCAACAGATTAAAAGAAAAAGTAGATTCTCTCAACAGAGAGGTCGAGCAGGTAAGTTTGGGAAAATATATTTGTGGGACATCCTACATCATATTTAAGAGTTTTGTTTGGCATTCCATAAATTAAATATAGAAACAAACACTTAAATTACTTAAATATACTATGAATTGTAGTCTAACTGCTTCCCAATACCCACTCTCGTTTTTCCCTAATCCATTATCTACCCTACAACTAGAATAATCCTTAGTGTTTTTTAAAGTTAGGAACTACTTCAAACATACCAAAAAAGTGCAAAAAAAAAAAAGTAATATAAATAACACATGTTTACACATCTCCCTGGTTGAAGGATTTCCACTGTTGCTTCAAGTTTCTCTTTATGTAAAGAAACAAATTGGGGCACCTGGGTGGCTCAGTTGGTTGGGCGTCTGACTTCGGCTGAGGTCATGGTCTCACAGCTTGTGAGTTCGAGTCCTGTATCAGGCTCTGTTCTCACAGCTCAGAGCCTGGAGTTTGCTGTGGATTCGGTGTCTCCCTCTCTCTCTGCTCCCCCCCCCCCCCCGGCTCATGCTCTGTCTCTCTCCTTCAAAAATAAACATTAAAAAAAAAGAAACAAAATATTACAGATACAACTCCTCATCCTTTTCCCTGGCCCCTCCCTAATGACTGGTGTGAATAACTTTCATGTCAGTTGTATAACTCTTTTGCATATTATTATGCTTTATCTACGTATCTATCACCTACAAATGATGTATAATGTTGTTTTTTGTGCTTAAGGTTTTAAGTGATACTCTAGATATCCATTTGTAATTTTCCTTTTTTGCTCAATATTATAATTTTTAAATTTATCTATTTTGATAAAGTATACATCTAAACAGTTGTGTCTATAGTCATTGTATAAATATTTTCTTTTAAAACTTCATATTAAAGGAAATTTAATTGTCTTCACTTTTTCAGTAGTAAAATGCTGCAACAAACATTCTTTTATGTTTCTCCTTGGGTATATATTTCTCTGGGTTTATGACTAGAAGTGGAAAAACTGGGAAGGTTTAACTCTTTGAAGTATTGCCATATTGCTCTCTAAAGTTTTACTGTTTCATCAGAAATCATGGAGTTGTTACTTTCTCAAGTACTAACCAATACTTGATATTATCAGACTTTTAAATTTTGTCTATACTTCTTGTTTTGTTTCCTTGATTACAAGTGAAATTGAGAATTTTTTCATGTTTCTTGGCCATTCAGAATTCCTCCTCTATAAATTTTCTCTGAACGAATTTTTTAAACTTTGCTCATTTTTCTGTTGGGTTATTTATCTTTTTCATATTGACTTATCAGAATTATCTATATATGGTAATATTCCTTTTAAAGATATTATAGTTTGGGTGCCTCGGTGGCTCAGTTAAGAGTCTGACTCTTGATTTCGACTCAGGTCATGATCTCATGGTTTGAGTTTGAGCCCCACATAGGGTTTCGTGCTGACAGTGCAGAGCCTGCTTGGGATTCTCTCTCTCTCCCTTTCTCTGTCCCTTCCCAACTTGTGCTGTGCACACACACACACACGCACACACACACACACACACACACACACATACCCTCTCTCTCTCACTCTCAAAAATAAATAAATAAATAAATAAATAAATAAATAAATAAAAATTTTAAAGATGTTATAGTTATCCTCTTTTACTGTTACTTGCCTTTTCACTGTACTTGGGATATAAACAGAAGTTTTAAATTCTGATGATGTCAGAATTATTGTCAATCTTTCCCCATATGGTTTTTGTTGATATGTCTTCCTTAAGAAATCCTTTATTATTCCAAGACTAGAAAGATATTCTCTTATATTTATTTTAAAAGTTCTTTTAAATTCTAAAAGTATGTGAAATTTTGCCCTTTACATTTAGATATTTAATCCACTTGAGATTGAGTATATGTTTTGATATAGAGATTAGTTTTTTATTTTTGTACATGGATATCCACCATCCTTTCTTCACTGAATTATGAGTCTACTTTGTCATAAAAATGCTTCCATTTGTTCTCCTCCATTCCTAACTTTATCTGCTTGCCAATAATAAACTCTTGGAGCTTCTATAGTTTTGTGTTAAGTCTTGATATCTGGGATTAATGTTCCTCCAAATGAATTTGGCTGTCGTTTGTCCTTATTGAACTCTCTCAAATAAATTATAAAATAAATTAATCACATTCTGTAATTTAACATCTTTCTTCTTTATATGAATTTAAGGCTAGAAATTTCTTTCTAAATAGTTCTTTGGCTGCATCCCACAAGTTTTGAGGTAATGCTTTTATTGCCATTCATTTAAAAGTATCACGTAGTTCAATACTGATTTATTTATGTTAATTATGATTTATTTTTCATCACTGAAGTTATTTTTTTTCAAAATTTTTAACCACTTAGTTTATTTTCTTTTTTCAAAGTTTTTATTTAAATTGCAGTAGTTAACATATATTTTAATATTTGTTTCAGGTGTACAATATAGTGATTCAAAACTTCCGTACAACACTCAGTGCTTTATCACAAGTGCCCTCCTTAACCCCCGATCCCCATTCACCTCCCCTATGGTAACCATCAGTTTGTTCTCTATAGTCAAGAGTCTGTTCCTTGGTTTGCCTCCCTGTCTCGTTTTTTCCCCTTTGCTCATTATTTTGTTTCTTAAATTCCACATATGAGTGAAATCATGTCATTTGTCCTTCTCTGACTGACTTATTTCACTTAGCATAATACTCTCTAGCTCCATCCATGTTGTTGCAAATAGGAACATTTCATTCTTTTTGATGGCTGAGTAATGTTTCGCTGTGTATGTATACCACAGCTTTTATCCATTCATTGGCTGATAGACAAGTGGACTGTTTCCATAATTTGGCTATTGTAGTTAATGCTCCTATAAACACTGGGGTACATGTATCCCTTTGCATTAGTATTTTATATTCTTTGGGTAAATACCCAGTAGTGCAATTGCTAGATCATAGGATAGTTCTATTTTTAATATTTTGAGAACCTGCCATATATTTTCCAGAGTACCTGCACCAGTTTGCATTCCCACCAACAGTGCAGGAGGGGTTCCCCTTTCTCCACATCCTCAGCAACATCTACTGTTGCTTGTGTTTTTTATTTTAGCCATTCTGGCAGGAGTGAGGTAATATTTCACTGTAGTCTTGATTTGTATTTCTCTGAGGATGAGTGATGTTTAGCATTGTTTCACGTGTCTGTTGGCCATCTGGATGTCTTCTTTGGACAAGTGTCTATTCATGTCTTCTGTCCATTTTTTAATTGGATTATTCATATTTTGGGTTTTGAGTTTGATGAGTTCTTTGTAGATTTTGGATACTAACCCTTTATCATTTGTCATTTGCAAATATCTTCTCCTGTTCCATAGGTTGCCTTTTAGTTTTGTTGATTATTTCTTTTGCTGTGCAGATGCTTTTTATTTTGATGAAGTCCCAATAAATTTTTTTTTTTTTTGCTTTTGTTTCCCTTGTCTCAGGAGACATATCTAGAAAGAAGTTGCTACAGCTGTTGTCAAAGAGGTTGCTGTCTGTATACTCCTCTAGGATTTTGATGGTTTTGGGTGTCAGAATTAGGTCTTTAATCCATTTTGAATTTATTTTTGTGTTTGGTGTAAGAGATTGGCCCAGTTTCATTCTTTTGCATGTTGCTCTCCAGTCTTCCCGACACCATTTGTTGAAGAGACTATCTTTTCCCATTAGACATTCTTTCCTGCTTTGTTGAAGATTAATTGGCCATTTAGTTGTGGGTTTATTTCTGGGTTTTGTACTCTTTTCCATTGTTCTATGTGTCTATTTTTGTGCCAGTACTGTACTGTTTTGATCACTACAGTTCTGTAGTATAATTTGCAATTTGGAATTGTGATACCTCCAGCTTTGCTTTTCTTTTTCAGGGTTGCTTTGGCTATTCAAGTCTTTGTGCTTCCATACAAATTTTAGGAATGTTTGTTCTTGGTCTGTGAAAAATGCTATTGGTATTTTGATAGGGATTGCATTTTATCTGTACATTACTTTGGGTAGTAGAGACATTATAACAATATTTGTTCTTTCAGCCTATGAACATGGAATGTCTTTCCATTTCTTTGTGTCTTCAATTTCTTTCATCAGTGTTTTATAGTTTTCAAAGTACAGGTCTTTCACCTCTTTGGTTAGGTTTATTCCTAGGTACCTTGTGGTTTTTGGTGCAATTGACAATGGGATTGATTCCTTAATTTCTTGTTCTGCTGCTTCATTATTGGTGTATAGAAATGTAACAAATTTCTGTACATTGATTTTATATCCTGCAACTTTACTGAATTTGTGTATCAGTTCTAGCAGTTGTTGGACCCTTTGGATTTTCTATATAGAATATCATCTCATCTCATCTGAAAATAGTGAAAGTTTTACACCCTACTTGCTGATTTGGATGCCTTTTATTTCTTTTTGTTTTCTGATTGCTGTGACTAGGACTTGTAGTACTAGTGGTACTAGCACTAGTACAGTGGTGAGAGTGAACATCCTTGTCTTGTTCCTGACTGTAGAGGAAGAACTTTTCCCCATTGATGATGATATTATCTGTGGGCTTTTCATGTATGGCCTTTATTATGTTGAGTTATGTTCCCTCTAAACCTATTTTATTGAGGGTTTTTATCATGAATGATGTTGTACTTTGTCAAATGCTTTTTCTGCATTTATTGAAATGATTGCATGGATCTTATGCTTTCTTTTATCAATGTGGTATATCACACTGATTGATTTGTGCATATTGAACTAACCTCACAACCTAGGAATAAATCCCACTTGATGGCAGTGAAATAATTTTTTTAATGTATTCTTGAATTCAGTTTTGCTAGCTTTTATTGAGAATTTCTGCATCCCTGTTGATCAGGGATATTAGCGTATGGTTTTCTTTTTAACGGAATCTTTATCTATTTTTGGTATCAAGGTAATGCTGGCCTCATAGAATGAATTTGGAAGTTTTCCTTCCTTCTTTATGTTTTGGAATAGTTTGAGGAGAATAGCTATTAAGTCTTCTTTAAATGTTTCGTAGAATT